GTGTTGTCATCATTGTATGTTTCTATACAATGATGAAATTAGTTCTCTGCACATGAGATACACCCAGGTGGAGCAGTGAGGAGCTACATAAGCACCTGCGGGGAGCATTAGGTATCATGCTCAAGGCCACCACGATATCTGGGCATGGCGGAGAGTTGAACTTGCAACTTTCCAGTTTAAATGTAGTTTGAACAGACTGGATTAAAAGATTTTTATTTGTTGGTAATATTACCAAGATTTTACATTGTTTTTGTAATGTACAGAAGTCCACGACAGCCATACCTGCTGTTTTTTTCAATTATAATTTGATTTTTTTTTTCTGAATCACTATTTAACAGTTGTTATTTATGCTAAATGTTATTTAAAATAATAACATTTAAAGATCACCAAGAAAAAAAAAGTCCTATTAATGTAAGCTACATGTCACACAGTGTGAGCTTGTTATGAACATTATTAACATGTTAGTTTTGTTTTATTTTAGGCCTGGATTTTGTATTTCTGTAAAGGACTTGGTGATTTTATCTATGAAAAGTGCTATATAAATAAACTTTACTTACTTACTTAACTTGAAAAAACAAGTTTTGTTGTACAGTAGTCCCTCGCTACTTCGCGGTCCGGCTTTCGCAGATTCGCTCTTTCGCAGTTTTTCAAGGTAAGATTGTACACGACACACAATTGTCAACTTTAATATTACTCACATGATTGGGACAGTATGGGATAAAAAGTTAACAGAAATTAAAAATACTTTGGACAGGCAGTGTCATTTTGTAGTTTTCTTTCAAAAAGCCCACACTGTAACGCAAGTCAAAAGAACTACACTACCCAGAAGTCAGCAGTGCTTCCGGACACTGCTTTCTGCTGAAATGGAAGGAAAGTTTAGTAACGCAAAGTCTGAGGTAAAGATCAATATATTGAGCTCACAGAACTGGCAGGAAAGTTGAAAATAATCCTGAAGCTTCCTGAAGCTCAATTATCCACACGCACATCAACCTGGACGGGGCGGTGGGCTTCTTCGCTGCAGCATAGGTCTGCTGCACCGGAACTGAGCCCGATCGGAACTGAGCTGCTGGTCTGCAGAGCTGGTGAGTAAAATTACGTATGTTGGTAAAATTACGTACGTATTTTTAAGAGTTTAGAACATTGTAAGAGCGTGGGAAGGGTTTATAAAGCCTTAAAATATATATAAATACTGAAATAAATATAGCATACTTCGCGTTTTTCATCTACCGCGGAGGTTTCTGGAACGTAACCCCCGCGATAATTGAGGGACTACTGTACAGATAAAGATAAAGAAGTCTTGAGAAAATATCATGGAAAAAAATTATGCATTTTTTCAGCCTTTTTTTTAGCTGATCTTGCATCAAATGCTGAATTAGGAACTAAAGCACATCCTTTTGTTACAGTAGATTTTGAAAGTATAAGTTCAACTTTGTACTTCAACAATAAAAGAGAAAAACTGTAAAAACAACAACAAAAAAATCAATTGCGATGCTTACGTCAATGTGTTTTCTGTCTGTCTCATCTAACAGGAGTGCTTTAAATCCTCGTAGCCATAATTCTGAGGCTTTGCTTTCACGATTGTCCAAATAGTAGAGGAGCTTGACAGCCTGAGCACTTCTGATTGTGCCGTTAGCATCTGTAATTACCCCACCAAGAACAGAACCCAGAAAGACTGAACTGGATCCATGCTTATGTTCTGGGTAGGTGATGCTGGTGTTGTCATTAGGGACGATTTCCAGGATCACGTTGGATACACATCTTCCATCGAACTCAGCACACAGCTCGTTGAATCCCAGCCTTCCATTGTCCACGGTGATATTCAGGATCTTATTGTCCATTTTAATGATTTCCTGAAATGCAGGACTTTCCAGTACATTGCGGCTGTTCTTCGAGACAGCAATGAGGGACGCAAACTCCCCTTTGTTGTACAGCCTGTCTTCAGAAAACATGGAATCGTTATAAGGAAAGTTTTCTATCACAAACGCTCTTGTCACCTTCGAGGGTCCTTTCTTTGGCGTGAATTGCCGCTCGAGATCATTGTCTTCTCTGTCTCTGATAAAATAGAAGCCTCCACCGAGCGCTGCAGATATAATGATGGGAATAATGAGGAAATAAAGCGGACAGGAGCCGACTGTTGAGCCAAGCTTCTCAAAAAGGTTTGACAGTGGCCTCGAAAGGCAGTCTGTGCGTCTGCAGCCCATCTTGAGTCTCGCAGGAGTTTTGTAACAAACAGGAGGGATCTGCAACCTTTATAAAGGCGGTAAGGTTTACAATACATCACTCATAACACACCTTGGGATTTATCTAGATTAAGAAGAAGCTTGATTAGGAGCCTGAGTAGAAAGCAAAAGACAGGAAGCAGTGCTGTTAATAACACATCTTACAGTAAAAAATTATTTATTAACGATTAGCAATCAAATATGCAGCAACAGTTTAACAAAAAATAGGTTGATGACACCATTTAGCAAATCACAGTCATTGCATTTTATTACTTTACAGCTTAAGCATGCTCAGGCGTGCCGTCAGTGAGCAAACATATGACCTCGTCCTTTGTGAAATTGTTTCACCTTTGAAATGTGAAAGCTTTTTTTTCTAAAACACAATAAAGGCAATTCTGACATAAAAACAAAGTCATAAAGAAATCGAGACGCGTTTTCCGC